GAAACACTTTTTGTAAGAAAAAGATACAGACTGTTTCATAGCTTGCATATACAGTTGATACACAAAGTACTTAATTCCCCAAACAGTCAGAAATATAGTGTATATTAGTGTTTTAAAAGAAAATAAATATGCCAAGAGACTCATATCTGACAAGGAAATAAATGTCTGAATGAATTTAAATTATCTCCAGTGGAGGTTAGGAAATGGAATATGCTGAATAGCCAAGTAGCTAATTCACTGATTAGAGTGGGGTTAGGGCTTGCATCTGCTTCCAGTGACTCAAAGGCAAGCCAGTATTAATAGGAACAGGATACAGCTTGTGGAAGGGTCTGAGAATTTAAGACCATGAACAATCATGGCAAAATGTTCATACTTGGAAGCACAGGACCACACATCTAAATCCATGTTTATGTACCTGATTTCAGGCACCCTGTTAGAAAAGTATGGTTTAAAGTCACCTGCCTGTAGAAGCAATTGTTTCATTTCAAGTTCTGGGTTTTGATCACAAGACCAAACATATTGGGGTCTTCTTAAAACTAGCATGTATTAAAGGCAGACTCCTGGTTGCCCAGAGGATAGTATATTACATATAGGGGGTGTTCCTTGATGATAGCCATATTGCCCAAAAAGTGTGTCTAAGTCAAGTGAAAGCACACTTTTGTGCTCTTGGCAAGAATATCACCCCTTGTGCTCTTAGTATAAGAAAACTGTACAGCTGAGTGGTTCTACGACTTTTTAGGACATGTGAGGCAACGCCTACAAAAAAAGCCAGTATAGGGCATCTATTTTTTTCACAATATTTGCATGTATAGTGGTAGGCAAAACTGCTGATCTTTATGAAATAAATAGTTCAGCTATATCTGCAATATGATACAGTTCTTGTTCCATGCCCATCTAGCTTTTTCTTTGTCATCTTTTGTTGTCTAAGAACCCAATACTGTGCCCCTGAAGTCAAAGGGAATTGTATCATTGACTTGAATGAAAGTGACTCAGTCTATAATTCACTGGGAATAGTAAACTAAACAAGATTATTCTCATCAGTAGTAAAGATGCTAAAACTATGAAAAAAACTGTTTGCTCCAGCATACAAATATTTTTGGCAGTCCAGACAAAGACATTTATTTGATTTGAAATGAAACAGCAAGTCTCTGGGCCAGGAAAATAAGGTTGCTATACATAACATACATCACTTCTATGATGGACAACATGGGAAACGCTTCCTTTTCAAAGATTCTATACTTTTCCAAAGCACTAGGCTCAATCCTGCTCACAGCAGTCAGTGGTAAAATCTTCCAATGATTTCAGTGGGAGTAGGATGCAACCAAATATATCTGAATTAACTGTGCAATTTACAGAGAAGGAATAATCCTTTCTAAATCTTGCAGTAGTTATATTGTATCCTGAGAGCACTCAGATATCACAATTATGAGCTTGGGAAATTCACCTAGAGAGATTAGACAAAGTTCCATAAAATTGTTTTTATTCTAGAAAGTTTAATATTCCAAAGGATATTAGTAGCAAAAGGACTGAGCCACCCCAAAACCATATATTGTTTTAGTCTCCAGATCTTTTATGTTGATATACAGTCAACTAGAAACTAAAAAAGCTGTATTGCTTGGATAAATGATACCCACTTATGATCTGTCTACCATAAAGGAAAAAATTAAGTTTAGAATATTATATATAACTGGCCACTCCAGTCACACCATTGTGGTTCAGCTATTTGCTAACATGTGTGGGTCCTAAACTATGTCTGCCAATGCACATTGCTTTGAAGAAATTCCATGAATTACTAATCAGCTGTGATAAAAAAGAAAAATAATGAGCAAGATTTACATTAGTGTAATAAGTGTTTCAATGTACTCCCATTAGGAGTTCCTGTCATCTCCTGCCACCCAAAACCATCCAGGCGTTACTCTTTCTGATGGATTAAAATTAAGTGTGCATATTGTTCCCTGCTTCCATGCAGAGAATGCTCATTACCACTAATGATGGTTTAGGGTGTGGCTCATAGTAAGAATAATGTATATGGCCTATATTCTTCATGCTCTGTGGGGAGTCTGTCAAGAGTGTGATGATTCTGGGGAGTGTGTTTGGACACTGTCTCTCCAGGATGCCATTTAAAAGCCAAAAGGGAGAAGACTTTTGTTTCAGTAACACAGCCTGGAGCTCAGAAATAAACATTCACAGGTTGATGCAACTTATGACCCAAAACTACCTCTCTCCATCTGTATAGCAGGGCTGGAATTTCCAGGCAGCACTATAATCTGCATAATAATTAATCATAAAAAAACATGTCCCCCAAAGCCATTACTGCAAACTGCCTAGCAATGAGTTAGCATCTATCACCCCCTAGCAGATTTTACATGAGTTGCAAGGAGAGTTCCTGCAAGTCCAACAATTTTTCCTATCTTTCTTTAAAATTTGAAATGAACAGCACTTATTCTGTGAATTCTTCTGATTTTCCTGGGTCCTAATGAGCATAGATCCAGGGAAAAAAAACAAACCCACAGGCTGTTTTCACAGAGTGAGATCCCAGTTCTTAGATCCAATGCTTAGTCTTCCAAGTGGCAGTCTACAGCACTAGTTCTAGGCCACTGGACTGCATCAGCAGATTTTTATTTTTTTTTTTATACTCCAAATATGCTTAGCCATAGATATAACATTATCAAAAACAAAGTTCAGTTCTAAAGCAAGCAGATTCTTCAATAGCTCCATAGACTTAGGGTACAACCAGGACTGCTCTGCACTTGAATAAACAGCTCTTCTACCACCAATTTAAAATAAAGATAGGCAATAAGATTTTTTGCCCTTTGAACTGAACTTTTGTGTTCAACTCATTCAGATTATTGTCAACAGAATGGATAATTTTTTTTGTATTCTACTAGCACCTTGAGACCTCTTAAAATGAAGGGGTTATAATCATGAGCAGATCTAGCATTCTGAAAAGGAAGGTGTAGATGGTGGGGCACATCATCACATATAACATGACACATTTTTCTCTGGTTAAAGAGAACATAGAATATGCTTTACTAATATGCTAGGGGGCTAGCACTTTAGTATTCAGTTTAAAGTCAAAGCAAAAACAAATATAACTTTATTGGAATGTGCACTAATTTGCTAGATTATATATTAAGCTAAAAACACACAAGAAACTAGACAAAAATAGGCAAAAGATATTGTGTGTCTAGTCCTGTCATCATTATAGTCAAATTCATAAAATAAAATATAGCCTTCTTGAGCATTTTGACAGTTTCAAATATTTCACTGTCCGTCATTTCTACATCTGAGTTATTATAGCTGCATCTGAGTTAAGAGTTTTAGCTGGAGCTAAAAACAGTCTGCAGGGCTGTGAAATCGAAGACATTACCAGGAATGGCTAAGGGACAGCAGACTTACAGAAGAAAAGACAGTTGGGACAGTGGAACATCAGGGCCTTTAAATGGAGAGAGGGTCGTTAACACCTATGGAATGCAGAGACATTAGCAGGAACCAGGTAGACTACAATGAGCCATGAAATCGGTTGACTCCTTCAGTACAGCCTCAATAGAAATATGACTACATCTCCCAGGTTTTAAAGTTTGGGTGGAGCAGGAATCAAAAGTGGGTGCAACTGTACCACTGCATGCCCCCTGAATCCGCCCCTGCTCTAAGAACATGTAATAAGAGATAGTTGCTGTTCCACATGTTTTACATTTTAAATAGAACTGGCAAACAGTTGGAAAGGGACACAGGCACAGAGAGGTCTGTGGATCAGTAGCTGAACAGGAGCCCAAGACTTGTGAATCCAAGTCTAGTGTCTTATCTATTAGATCTCACTACCTTTCCAATAATTTTATTCTGAACATATTAAAATTTACTAGCAAATACTGCACAACAAAAAATAATTAAAAGGAAGCCGTCTTGGGTAAAGATGGGTTTCTTTTTCATTTAAATAGAATAAAGAACACTATCTTGGTGAACAAAGACAATAAAACTAATAGAAAAAATAGCTAGGTAAAGTTCAAATTTAAAATATCACACCTATATAAGTTTGCTTAGAGGTCTGTGGTGAATTATTATGGTGCAGGGAGATTACGCTTAAAGGCAAATTATTTAGTACTCTCACATGTCCTTAAAACATCCAGGTACCTGGCAACACATTTTTGGTTTTGTATGTGTTAACATCCTCACTTTGCTGTCATGAGGAAATGTATTTGGGACACTAGATGTCACTATACCAAAGAGAAAAATTCGCTTGCAGGGTTGCCTTAATTGGAGACAATATTTAAGACCAATGATTTTTAAAGTAATTAGTAATTTGGGGTGCTTCACTTTTTGGATACCACATTGCAACTTTTTAAAGGGGTCTTGTTTTCAGAACTTTTTGGAAGTCAGGCATTTTTAAAATGTCTTAGATCAGAGGTCTCAAACATTACAGGCTGTGGGTGGGATCCAGCCTGTGGAGACAGACCTGGCCTATATGATCCAACCCATGGATCTCTGGACTGACCCCATGTGCTGCATGGGGCGCACACGAGCCCCGGCTCTGCACATTGGCTCTGGGGCCTGTCTGGATTGGGCTGTGCCAGAGGCAGATGCCACATGCAATGCATGCCCTATGCCAGCCCCTTGTGCCCTGTGCAGCACGTGCTGGCCTTGGGGCTGGGTCTGCATGTTGTGCACAGATGGGACTGGGGGTTGCACGCAGCACAGGGTGCACACTACATGCGGTGCACCTTCCTGACAGGTCCTACATGCTGCATCTGGCACAGCCCAATTGGACTGCTCTAGCGTGCAGGGCTAGAGCCAGCAGTGCAAGCAGCTCTGGGTCTAGCCCACACATCACATGCATCATGAGCTCTGGAGTGGGGCTGGCATATGCTGCATACAGTACCCGAGCTGGACCTGTTGCCATCAGGCATTCCCCATGGCACAGGGGGACAGTTCCAATCCAGCCCTCAGAGCAGCCCAATGACCCTCATGTGGCCTGCAGGGCTAGATGAGTTTGAAATCGCTGTGTTGTATTAAGCACTCAGAAACAGAAGCACCTGAACACTAGTTCATGTAGAAAAAACACACATCCAAACAATTATTTTCATATTGTATCTTATATTGTTTTATAGCCTGAAAAGTTTTTATTCTATCTGTCTAGAGCAATGCAGGTGCATTTGCCCAGTAACTTGTGACATCCCTGTACATAGGTAGATTCATGTTTGTCAAGAGGGCAAAATATTGGTACAAAGGTCAAGCATGGAGATCTGAGATGGGATTTGTGCACCTAATTTGTAATCTTTTTATCAGGAAAACATTTAGGATCCCATTTGCTAAGTTGGTGCGTCCATACATGCAAGTACAATATTGCATATGTTTAAACATAGTCATGTAAATGTTTAACATACAAGTCACAACTATAAGTATATTTTAGTCCATTGCTGTGGATTAAACATTAAAAATATAAGTGTATTTTAGTCTATTGCACCCTTTCAGTTAACAATCAGTATGAATTTAAACAAAGGATTATACTTGAGTATGTCAGCTTCAGGTCACACTTTCCTCAGGAGCCTTCAAGAAGAGCGAGAAAGGGACCTAGAAAGTAAAAAAATAATTAATTAATAATAAGAGTCTGGTGGAACAATGAAGGAAGGAAGGTTATGGCAGGTGTGCCACTATTAGCTCTTCCTGTATGCTGCTCATCTCCTTCCCTGCCTGATCAGCTGCTCTGCTTTCTGCTCCATGTCCTGTCTGTCACTGTGCTGCCTGTCCACACCACACAGAGAGGCTGGCTATGCCACGTGTGGCATGCATGCCACAGGATGGTCACCCCTGCATTAACAGCAATCTCACCTTGAAATGGCAAAGGCAATGGATGATGATTACATGTTCCATGTGAATGAGAAAAGATCACAATTGTCTTTCTGGATAAAAACTAGGGCTGTGCAGAATGGGCCGTATTCAATTCAGATTCGGGGACAGTGATTCAAGTCATTGGATTCAGATCACTGTCCCCAGTTTGATTCAGCCAAATCTAAAGATTCAATGCTGATTTGGAGAATCAGCAATTCAGCCATAGATACAGCTTTAAAATGTTTTTTCTACATACCTCGAGGTACCAGGCATGCCTCATTAATGCTGCGATGCAGAGGCAGATGGAGTGTCCCACAGGAGGGCAGGAGGCTCCCCCCCGTGTTCGGTGGCAAACCTGGAAGTGGACCTGAAGTAATTCTGGTCTACTTCCGGGTCCACCAAGGAGTGCACTGGGGGGTCCTCTCACACCTCCCCAGCTCAGCGATCAGCCATGGGAGGACCCCAGGTGCCCTCCCAGACCCAGGAGGCACCATTTGCCAAGCTGGGCTGTGGCAGGGTCCCCCATATACTCCCCAGTGGACCGGAAGTGCTTCTGGTTCACTTTCAGGTCTGCTGCTGGGTGTCCTGGAGAGCCCCCTGCGCTTATGAGGGATATTCCATCCACCCCATCATCACAGCATTAATGAGCTGCTTGATAAAACATTTAAAGCTGCGTCTATGTCCGAATCTCTCCGAATTGATTCGGAGGGTTCTGATTCGACTTGGAGAGATTAAAGGGTCTCCTAATTTGATTTGGATTCAGAGATTCAGCCACCGAATTGGGCCGATTTGGATCAGGGACTGAAGCTTTACACAGCCCTAATAAATGCCTTTCGTATAGGAGCATGTAGATAATCTGCCAGCACAAACAGATATAAATACATAAGTGTATTCAGCAGCATACAAAGTATACAATATTTAGCTACTGTTTCAAAGATGCTACAGCTTAAGGACTTTGGGCTTGTATTTAATATTTTGTGTGCGTGTGCGTTCTTGTGCTCACACACACACATACTAACTCAGGTGCTATTTTTTTTTTCTTAGGGTCAGGCTTTAAAATATACAGTATGCTAAATCAAGCATTGTCACACCTGTGTACACATACCCCTGGGGGTAGTTGGGAAGGCCACACAGGTGGGAGGAGACAGAGCAAGCAAGGTCATCACAGTAGAGGGGGTGGGGGGGGAAGTTTGCATGCAGCAGCAGTCACCACCCCATGCTGCTGCTGCTCCACATCTGGCCACACTGCCCCCACCCCTTCTGCATCTGGCTGCCAGGGGTACACTTACTAAAAAAGGTTGAAACCCCCTGTGCTGCATGAACAGGAATGACAAGGTCTAGCCCAAAGCTAGGCAGATATATAATATTTTTTTATTTGGAAGATTATCACAAAATTTCTCAAATTTATCTTTTCTTGGAAAAAAAAAAATGAAGTGGTCGTTTTCTGCATGAGCAGAGAGATTTGTATTTACAGTTGCCTGGTATAGAAAGCACTACAGACAAATTCTGTAAATGTGGTCCTTGGCTTATTTGTTTCCTTCACAACTTGTTTTATGATATCATCTGTGATCTACAGGGAAAGTGCCTCAGAAAAGCCAAATCAACTTTATGCAACTGGCTGTTCAGGTTCATTTCACATTTTTTTTTAAATACATGTACTGTGTATAACAGCACAGCACTGCTGACCTTTTACTGTGGACAGTCATAGGAGTGTTTTCTCAGAATTTGTTAAATTATTCCTTGTTTTTTGGACCATGTCCAGATAACATAAAAGTCAGCAGGAGTTTTGTCATTGAATTTAATGAGTCCTAAAATTGGCAGCTCAGTGTGTGTGTGTGTGTGTGTGGTTATTTCCTCATGTATTGCTTTGTACTATTTGAAATATTTTAGTAATGGTATGTTATATTTTACTTATGCTGAGGGAGTACTTTACCTATCCTATTGGACAGTGATCACCAAAGTATAGTATGCCCAATTCGGGCCCCTCCCATGCCAGCCACACACACAGATGTTTTCATTGCTAGCTTTGTCAACTTTCTACACCTGGGATATTTATACATGTGCTCCAGGAGGTGGGGGGTGGGGGGCAGAGGGGAGGGTACTTGAATTAGAGCAGTTCTAATTAAAAGCTCCCAGAAAATCTCATGCATCAGCATCCCCATACTGAAAAAAGGGGGTGGGGGCACTTTAACTAAAACTCATCAAATGAGTGTTAGTTAAAGCACCCCTGCTGCCATTTTTTCAGCATGGGGATGCTGATACACATGGTGCTGGAGTGCAATAATTACTACACTCTAGCAGACTTGATTAAATTGGAGTCTGCTCCGATACGGAGTCTGCTCTGCTGTGATACTTACAAATACAGGATGTCAGAGCAGCCTCAATGCATGTGTATAGGTGCCCTTGGTTATTCCCTATGAGAAGCATATCTTCAGCCACTCTAGAAGACTAGTTTTGCAGTTCTATGTTTAAAAACTGGCATAAGGAAAAAGTTAATCTTTCAGAGCAAGACGGTTCCATGGGCTAAAAATCTTCTCTCCACATCCCAATAAATTGTTATGATCTCAAACTATTCCTATGGCAACAGCAGCACAGTATTTCTATATTTAAAACTGCATCCCATCTGATGCTTGTCAATGCATTTTGCTCCTATTAGGCATTTAAAAATGAAAAATAACAAGATTAAAACGCAAGATATTCCTTTTCAAATGAACTAGATATTTATACTCAGATCTCTGGTGAAGAAAGACAAAAAGTACTGTTCACAATTTAGTACATGAAGATCTTATCTTTAGTATGTTTCATGAATGGAATGGCTTCTATAGCAACGGTTCAACTACCAGGTGCACTGTTCCTTCATTTTGTGGTATGCCCAGAGGTATTCACATCAGATATCCAGTTGTCCTCAGATATAGCGATGTCACTGTGTTTGGGCCTTGAACTAAGAAGTAAACAAATTTTCACGACCTAAAAGATGATACAACAGCATAAATGAAAACAGGCAAGTGCCATTTACAAACAACTTTTTGTTGTAATACTAGTAATACCATAAATAAATAAAATAAGTATTTCAGTTCATTTAAACCTAATAGTGTCTCTTTAAATATTCAAGTGAAGACTTCACACTTTTTAAAAATCTGATCTTTGCAACTGCTGTTACAACTGTTATGCAACTGAAGTAATAATTTCCTAAAAGAATGCACTGTATGAAGTTATTCCTTTATCAAACACTGAAAGAACTTATATTTTTCAGGATCATTCACTTTGAATTTCTAGTGCATGTTATCACCACTTTCGCCCTGTATAGTACTGTTCAGGTTGTTGAGACTGAGGAGCTAGGTAGGACATAAATTGCATAGTTTTACAATCTAAGTTTGATTTATGATCAGGCACAAAGAGCTAGGAGATAAGAACTTAGAACATGATCAATAGCATTGGACTTCATACTGCTATATCGTGTGCATAACAAAGTGTACATTGAGGAAATATACTGTGTTTAGAAAAGACTGATATTGAAAATGAGCAAAATATATTTGCTCCTTTTAAAAAGAAGGTTGTTGGATGAAGATAGGAACACCAGAATTTAATTATATAATTATAGGAAAATAGGGCTGGAAAGGACCTCAGGAGGTCATCTAGATTTCATAGATGTTAGGTCTGGAAGGGACCTCGAAGATCATCAAGTCCAGCCCCCTGCTCCAGGGACAGGAAGTCAGCTAGGGTCAAAGGATCCCAGCAAGATAAGCATCCAAGCATTTCTTGAATGAGTCCAGAGTAGGTGCCTGCACCACTTCTGGAGGGAGTCTATTCCAGGTTTTGGGGGCTTGGACCGTAAAGACATTTTTTCTTATGTCCAGCCTAAAATGTAGTTTATGACCATTGGTCTTTGTTTTCCCTTGGGGCACTCTGGTGAACAGATTGTCTATCAGTCTCCCAGATCCTGATATACACCCCTTACATACTTATAAGCAGCCACCAGGTCCCCACTAAGCCTGCACTTTTCCAGACTGAAGAGTCCCATGGCTCTCATACTCTCTTCATAAGGCCTATTCTTTTGCCCTCTGATCATGCGCGTGGCTCTCCTCTGGACTCTGTCAAACTTCTTGACATCCTTCTTGAATTGCGGAGCCCAGAATTGGATGCAGTACTCCAGCTGCGGCCTCACCAAGGCCGAGTACAGCAGGAGGATGACATCCTGAGATTTACTTGAGAAGCATCTATAGATGCAAGGTAGGGTTTTGTTTGCTTTACCAGATGCAACATCACACTGGTGACTCATGTTCATCTTGTGGTCAATTATGACCCCCAAGTCTCTTTCAGCAGTGTTGCTAGCAAGCATAGCACTGCCAAGCCTATAAGTATGCTGTGGGTTCTCCCCCTCCTCAAGGTGGAGTACCTTACATTTATCGGTATTGAATGTCATCAGGTTTGTGCCCGCCCGCTTACTAAGTTTATCCAAGTCAGCCTGGATCACTAGCCTGTCCTCAGGTGTGGATGCTATGCCCCAGAGTTTAGCATCATTGGCAAACTTAGTCAGTGCACTTCTGACACCAGTGTCCACATCGTTGATAAAGATGTTAAAGACAACTGGCCCAAGGACAGAGCCTTGAGGGACGCCACTGGTTATGGAGTGCCATAATGATTCACTGCCATTGACCACTACTTTCTGGGTCCAATCTCGGAGCCAATTTCCCAGCTATCAGACTGTGGTATAGCCGAGGCCACACAGTTGGCCAGTTTTCCCCTTGAGGAAGTCATGGGACACCAGATCAAAGGATTTTTTTTTTTTTTTAAGTCCAGATATAGGATGTCAATCTCTTCTCCCTTGTTCAGGCATCACCTGGGCATAGAAGATGAGATTGGTCAGTCAAGACCTACCTGCAACCAACTCATGCTGGCTATCCCTCAGGATGTTGCCTCAGCTAGCTTATCCAGAAGGGTCTCCTTGATAAATTCTCTCAAGAATCTTACCAGGGATTGAGGTCAAGCTGACTGGCCCGTAATTTCTGGGATCTACTTTCTGCCCTTTCTTAAAGATGGGTACCACATTGGCCTTCTTCCAGTCTTCAGGTACTTCACCTGAGTGCCATGAGTTTTTGAATATTTTTGCCAATGATTGGTCTATGACATCTGCCAGCTCCTTGAGTACCCTACGGTGTAATCTAGTCAAAGTCCTGTGGAAAGCAGGACCATCCTAATCTAAACCACCCCAACCATTGTCTGACCTGCAATAAAAAACTTCTAGTGATGGATAGCCCACCACCTCTCTAGGTAATCTGCTCCTCTACTTATCCAGCCTTAGAATTAGAAAGTTCTTTGTAATATCAAACCCATATTTCCCTTGTTGCAGTTTAAGACTGCCAAATCTTCTCCTGTAGACACAGATCACCACCCTCCTTATAAAACTTTTTTTTTTATTTGAAGATTGTTATTAAAAAAAGAAAAAAAAAAAAAAATCCCTCCATAGTTATTTATTGTCCGCACTAAACAGTTCCTGTACTTCCAATTTTTCCTTGTGTGCGATGTTTTCTAGACCTCTTTTCTTTTTTGATGGAAGAGTAGAGATGGAAGGGTGAAACTGGCAAGGAAAATACTAGTGTAACCCCAGGGTTTCATCTGCCCACTGTGCAAAGGTCATGCTCCAAAGGGTTTCCCTAATGAACAGAACTGCAAAGGAAAAAAATTGGTTCTTATTCTAAATTCTTCTTTATTTAGGTAAGAACACAGATGGAAGGCCTTTGAGGCTGGGCAATATCAAGTATATCAAATGTCAGACATTTGTATTAGCATTTGCCAAAATAGTAGGTAGGCAAAATAGCAATGTTGGATTGTGGAAAAATTGTTACTTATGCAGGCTAGCTGCACCCTTGTAACACTAATATATTAATTAAGTTAAAATATATATTTTCCTCAAATTAGCTACTAAATGGAATTCCACAAACTTTCAGAGTTTAAACTGAATGAGGCCTAAAGAAAAATTGCTCTCTCAGAGTTATCCTCTATGACTCCTTCCTAGTCACAGTTTGCTTTTCAAAAGAAAAAAAAAAATTATAGGGTATGGAGGGACAGAAACAAAAGAAAAAAGTTTTCCTTTGCTTGGTGAACATAAACATGAACATGAGCAATACAAAAAAAAAAAAAATATGAGCATCACTGTTTCTCATGCAGTGGTTCCTCTCTCACTATTTCCCATCCTTCTTCCTAAGAATGCTTTTGTATTACTCAGAGTAGCTATATAGAGAAATCCAGACTAGTACTTTGAATAGATTTTCTGCCCTTGTGTGAAACTCACCCTTAGAGAACACGAGGTGTGTTTTTACACCACCTGACTGAAAAGGAAGAATTGGCCTGTTATCTCTGTAAATGTCACTGGATTCTTTTCTCTAATAATTTCTGTTTGCAGGTAAGGAATTATTTGAATTGTTTCTGTTCTTTCACATTGAATAGCAGATCCATATAATAGAGGAATCCAATCCAAAATATCGTGGAGCACAAGTTTAATATATAGCACTGGGACCGGCCAATTATATTCTGCATACATACTGCATTCCCTATTTTTGGCTTGGAGAATAGGTAACCATGGTGACTGCAATAGCTACATTTCTACATGCAAAGATTACAGTGGAAATTCTGAGAATGCCAATGCTCACTGCTGCCCCTTCATACTGACATGTTGTTAGAGGCCACACTTATGCTATGGTATGGATGAAGATCTATAAATCCCTCTCACTTTAAACTACAACCATTCTGTCCTGCAGTATATGCCCTATATCCTAGTACCAGCATATCAATTCTATTGGCATATTGGAAAAAAGATGGCAAATAGGTGTAAATAATCTGGGTCAAATTTAAATCTGAAGTAAAATCTTCAAAAGCACATGAGTGACTAATGACCTAAGTCCATTATCTAGTGTAATTTAGGCACTTTGAAGTCTAGATTTAGAGTGTATCTGAAACTTTTGCCACAGGGCACAAAAAACATTGACCCAGTACAATTTGTCTGTAGCTGTGGTAGTTACTGGGTGCATCTACACATGTATTTTAATGCATATTAGTTTATTTTAACGCACATTAAAGTGTCACTAAAAAAAATTATATTTAGTTAATGCATATATCATGATGTGGGGTCCCCAGGGATGGCCGTGATGAACCCAGGGTTCTGTGACTGCCTGCTCTGCCTTGCGGGCACCTTCTAATCTCACCGGCCACATCTTGTTGGTTGAAATAATAAGTTGGGAAGCTGCCTACAAGTTTGTGGTCACAGTCTTGCTTAACCCCACTAGACCCTACTGATCTTGGATCCCTTGCTGGGTCTCACTCAAAATTAGTGCCTCCCAAGACACCCTAAACCTTATGGGCTAGATGTGTGGCTCCAAAATTCCCCCTTTACTGCACCCCATGCCTCGCAGGTGGTATTTAAACCTTGTCCCTTGCTACGGATCCTCAGTCTAGTTCGGCCTCCTGTCATCACTAGGCCCTGGGTCCTTGCAGTTGCGCCCTCTGGAGTTGGGGTTTCTACACCCCCTGTAGTGGCATCCTCTGGTGCTGGGCTCTCTGCAGTCTTGCTTCTGCGCCCTTACCAGTGCAGGGGCTCTACATGTTAGTGTGCCCTTATGAGGCTTCTTCCTCCCCAATTAGCCTCATCCTGGTCCACTAGTCCAAATAATAAAGTTAAAATGAGCCCCTCGGCTACAGTATAACCATAACAATAACAATGACACTGGAGGCCATACTCTCCCCCTTTAAGAAGGCAAGCTTCTCCCTGAGCAATGTACACCTCCTAGCCCAGGTACTGTAGGAGCTCCTAGAGCCCAATCTTACCAGCAGCAGAACAGGCAAACAAGCATCTCCAAGCAACTTTTCTGTAAGAGCTTCTTCCCCCTGGCTGTAGCCAGAGAACTAACTCCTGCCAGCCCCAACTCAGGGGCTTATATGTGCCCAGGGCCCTGTCTCCTTCCGGTCAGCTAACCTGGTGCAGGTGCTAGCTAATTCCCTCATTAGGCTGCTGCCAAGGCAACCTGCAGCTGTGGAGCTCTGCCTACTCTTAGGGCTCTCTAGCTAAGCTGCCTCTGCTTGTAAGGCAGCAGACACACATTAGTGCCCTGTGACAGCATATTAAAATAGCCTAATGCACATTAAGCATCACTAAAAAACCATGCTCTTTAGTTAATGAGCATTAAGACAGGATAATGTGCATTTTCCTAGTACCTCAGGGTGCCTGTACATGAGCACGAAGGCTACTCCAATGAACTGTAATTGCAGCACACCAGAGCAGACTCAATTGAGTCTGCTGAAGCATAGTAATTACTGCGCTCCAGAAGTCTCCCATGTCTCATGTATCAACATCCCTGCACTTCAAAATGGTGGCAGGGGTTCTTGAACTAAACCTTGTTCAATGAGCTTTAATTAAAGCACCCCACCTCCATTTTGAGCACAGGGATGCTGATAAACAAGACGCTGAGGTGCTTTAATTACAGTGGCTTTTGGAACCGCTTTAATTAAAGCATTGGCCCCCCTCCCCCGAGCATGTGTAAAAGTGTCCTCACAATGGAAGTACTAGATTTAATGTGAGTTAACTAAAGCACATTTATACATGTGTGGACACGCCCATGCTTATGCTCCAAACACTTTTAAAGCTAACAAAACTGAAGTCCTGTCCCAACGCTGCAATATGAGTTAGTAGGACCTGTCACTAGTTCATTCTTACTGATTTCTGGGATCTTCAAGTATTCTGCCTGGGACACCTGAAATCTCTTGTGTGCTTCCATTAATGTAATCAATTAAGCTGGCAAATCACAGCTACCCTTTGGGCTGGGAAAACTTATAATTATTTCACAAGAGTGCAATTCACATCTTTGAAGAAGGCCAATGCAAGGCCTAAGCAGCATTTGGCAGTAGCATAATTGGGGGTGCGGGAAGAGGTGACCAGGGCAGTAGCCTTGATCGTCACCTCTGGCGGGGAAGGGAGAACTACTGCCACAGCTGGCTGTGCCACTGCTGCTGTCAGCACAGCTGCTGCCAATGCCCTGTGTCCTGACACTGCCTAGAGCATAGAGCTGCCCTGTTATGCCTTTGAGTCCTACTTGTGCCTTTGAGTCCCACTAAATCCTAAATCAAATAGTACTGAGGTGCCAGGTGTACCTGGCACTAGGTGAGCTTTGCACTATGGATAAAGCCCAGTCTCTTAATCTTATGCCAAAAATGAATGTTCTCTGCTCTCTGAAGACTAGAATCTGGCCCTAACACAAATGATGCATCATTTTCCCGTACTTACCATTCCTATGGTAATTGTGGCTTTGCCCACATCAAATCTTGTTTACACAAGGTTTTTCAGGCAGTGGATGTGCATTCATTTCCTGAACCTTGTTGGATTGGGCTTTCAAAAATTTGGCCCATAAGATTATAATAATCAGGCCACCTTTTGTACATCTGTTAGAATAAAAGAAAAAATCCTGATCTTCTTTTGTATGCTGTTCCTTGTTAATTCAAGGTACCATAAATGGCCCTGTTTCCTACAGTAAGTGCAGGGTTGCTATTTACAAGACAGTAAATAAAACTGTCTTAGGTCTTGCTTGACCAATCTCATTTCCTTCTACAACCAGGTGACCTATCACCTGGACAAGGGAGATGAGATTGATGTCATATATCTTGACTTCAAAAAAGCCTTCGATCTGGTGTCCCATGATCGTCTCTTGGAGAAACTGGCCAATTGTCGCTTTGGGTCCTCCACGATCCACTGGCTGGAAAATTGGCTCCGGGGTCGGACCCAGAGGGTAGTAATTGATGGAAGTCACTCATCGTGGTGTCCTGTGACCAGTGGGGTCCCCCAGGGCTCTGTCCTTGGACCCATACTGTTCAACATCTTCATTAATGATGTGGACACTGGAGTCAGAAGCGGACTGGCCAAGTTCGCAGATGACACCAAACTTTGGGGCAAAGCATCCACACCAGAAGACAGGCGGGTGATCCAGGATGACCTGGACAGGCTCAGCAAGTGGGCGGATGAGAATCTGATGGTGTTCAACGCCGATAAATGCAAGGTTCTCCACCTTGGGAAAAAAAACCCGCAGCATCCTTATAGGCTCGGCAGTGCTATGTTGGCTAGCACTATGCAAGAAAGAGACTTGGGGGTCATCATTGACCACAAGATGAACATGAGCCTGCAATGCGATGCTGCGGCTAGTAAAGCGACCAAAACGCTGGCTTGCATCCATAGATGCTTCTCAAGCAAATCCCGGGACGTCATTCTCCCCCTGTACTCGGCCTTAGTGAGGCCGCAGCTGGAGTACTGCGGCCCGTTTTGGGCTCCACAATTCAAAAAGGATGTGGAGAAGCTTGAGAGAGTCCAGAGAAGAGCCACGCGCGTGATCAGAGGTCAGGGAAGCAGACCCTACGATGCCAGGCTGAGAGCCTTGGGGCTCTTTAGCCTGGAAAAGCGCAGGCTCAGGGGTGATGGCCAGGCTCAGGCTCATGGCCACCTACAAGTTTATCAGGGGTGACCACCAGTATCTGGGGGAACGTTTGTTCACCAGAGCGCCCCAAGGGATGACGAGGTCGAATGGTCACAAACTACGACAAGATCGTTTCAGGCTGGACATAAGGAAGAAATTCTTTACTGTCCGAGCCCCCAAGGTCTGGAACAGCCTGCCACCGGAGGTGGTTCAAGCGCCTTCATTGAACACCTTCAAGATGAAACTGGATGCTCATCTTGCTGGGATCCTATGACCCCAGCTGACTTCCTGCCCTTTGGGCAGGGGGCTGGACTCGATGATCTTCCGAGGTCCCTTCCAGCCCTAATGTCTATGAAATCTATGAAATCTATGAAAACTGCTTCATGAGCTCATTACACTGGCACTTGTCCCAGATGAATCAAATTGTGTGGGTCAGTTTAACAGACTTTATGATATGAATGCTCCACTGGCTCAATATTTCCAGGACCATTATGAGGTTGGAAATCAACTGATGGGGAAGTCTCTCTTTCCTGCAGCTGTGGCTTATACACCTTTGGGAAATGTAAAAAATATTTAGCATTCAGCTAGCTGCCTTGAAAATCAAATTGCAACACTATCATTTCTTCCCTTAGTACAATTATAAATCTCTCTCATCTTAGCGAGTCACTGTCAGGAAAAGAGAAAGAATGTGATTAAAACAAAGCCATGCAAACAGCTTTTTTCCTGAATAATATTTTAAAAGCTTTTCAGGACTATTTATAAAACATTTTTATATGCCTAAAAAAGACAGGCCTATAGCCCTTATCTGTTTTTATGAAAAGAAAGATAAGAACATGATTAGTTTTTATGAAAAAAACAAATAAGGACAAAGTCTGGCAATGACTTCATTATATAACTATTTTGCAAGGCTTTTTATGCCTACAAAAACAATCACTCCAATCTAAACCTGCTTGTGCTAACTCTAAACCAAGGAACAAGATTTAAAAAAAATGACTGTTACATTGTGAGGGCCAAATTAGAATTAAATTTATGGATTTTTCTTCTTTTGCTTAACTCCTCATTTTGAAGCTGACTGTGCAAATAGCTTCAAATAGCACCTCATTTGGAAACTATTTTAAAACACCTAGAACCCAGTATTGTTTGAGACAGGGTACTGAATTAGGCAGCCTATTGGAAAGGCAGTTTCTTTGTTCTAGTTTGGTATAACAAGGGCTGTGCTTAAAGTAGCAGCATTTCACAAATGCTGAAAAATAATGAACAACCCGATGTGGCTGCACATAAATACAACAACTCAGTTGCCACTTATACTGGAAATTATTTCTCAAAAGACATTTGAGCCATTCTTTATAAAAAAAAATCTGTTAAAACTGCTTATCGGTTTATGTAGTGTCTGTCCCAGAACTCTTCCTGATTTAAGTTAAATCAGACTCCCCTGGCATCCTGGTATGCTCTCTGGCCTTGGCAGGGTTCTTTGCTCCACAGTAGGCCTAGCTCCTCCTCTTTGCTTCCTGGCTGCAGCTCTGGCAGAGACTTGCAGGCACAGCAGTATCTGCCTGGCTTTCTCCTGCTCTCTGCCTCCCCTCATCACTCCCTGGTAAGCAGAGATCCCCCATCCCCTCTGCCTTACACAGACACCTCAGCATTAGCTAGCAGACCACATGCTGGCTACTAGGGCTGTGCAAAACTTCAGGTACTGATTCAATTCGGAGGAGATTTGGCCCGATTCGGTGGCAGAATCTCTGAATCCGAATAGAATCGGGAGACTAATAAAAAGGTCCAAATTGATTCGAAGCTCTCTGAATTGATTTGGAAAAGATTCGGAGAGCTTTGGAGATTCAGGCAGTCCCCGCTTGCCGCCACAGGGAGCTGGACCTGGATTCTGTGCCAGTAAGTAGGGGGAAGGGAGAAAGGAGGGCTAGAGGAAGGGGGAGGAGACCATGGGGGGACCCCCATGAGGCCTGATCCCCTGCCTGCTCCCCCAGCCCCCCTGAGTGCCACCTGACCCTGGCCCCCTGTTCCAGCCCCGTCAATGGCTGCCATACCTGGCCCCAATGTCCTGGCTCTTTAAAAATATATTTTTAAACCCTGCACTCACCGGCTGCTGCCAGGTGAGGGGGGTGATCCCTACTGCCCCCCACCACCCCGTGCTGCATGGGGGGTGCTGCCACAAGACCCCATCCACTCTCTGAGCCCTATCAGTGGTTGCCCCACCTGGCCCCAGCTCCTGGTTCTTTAAAAAAAAAAAAAGCCCCACCTCACTGTTTGCTGCAGCAGCCATCAGGGCTTCTGGCAAGCAGTGTGGGGCAGTATGGGGGCAGTGGGGATTGCCCCCCCCCCCAACCTGGCAGGATCTGGTGAGTGCAGGGCTTTTTAAAATTTTTTTTTAAAGAGCAGGGGCATTGTGGCTGGGAGAGCGGGGGTGATAGGAGCTTGTGGCAGATCCCCC